GCTCGTCTCATAGATCAATACAACAGAACAGCACACACCTTAAACCCCCTTCAAAAAGGACAAATAGTGGCACTACAACGACCAACAACCCGCCGATGGGACACAACAGGTCAGGTCATTAAAACCCTCCCCAACCACCAATACCGTATCAGTTGATGGATCAGGTAGAATTACCTTACGAAATCACCGATTCCTCAGGAAACTGGATACACCTACAATTCCAGTTCCCAGACCTAGTGCCTTACCTGAGACCCCTACACCAGTGCCACAAACATTCGACGCTGGAATAACATCAAACACTGCTCAGTCGTCTACAATAACACGGACAAAAACCCCTTGGGCATTGTCCAGACTACTTCCGCACAACCAGCCAGGTTTAAAGGAACTCATCCCTCCCCAAAGGCCACTACCCACACGCGATGGGGGGGGGGAAGGAGATGTAGAATAACAATAATAAACAGCACATACTGGTGTAAGGGTCCCAGCTAGTGTCCAGCTGGCAGACAAAAATAAAGCAGGTTGTAACTTAATACAAACCCTGCAAACTAACTGATAAATCAAGCTGGTATTTATATAGAAATACCTCCACTCAGGTACCAGCAGCCAATCACAGCCCAAGCAATGGACTATCCCACTTTAGCACAATGAGATGCTCCATGGCACCATAAATAGCTCTCTTAAGGTTGAGTTATTATTCACTCAGCTTGCTCTACAACTGAGTGTTTATCTTGACCACGTGATTGTTCGACAAATATATAGATTAATTAAGATTTGTTGATCATCTGGAAAAAAAGAGAAAATTTTTTTAAATATTATCTTATGGGTCCACTTACTTTTGTCCAGCACTGTGTATATTTAATCTCTCTCTCTCTCTCTTGTATGCTCCACTTGACATTTACACTTTTGAAACTTCAACTTTCACCTTATCCTTCTGCATTATTATATTGTGTTATATAAAGATTTATTTTGTATTTTTAAATACACTGTGCATTTTCTTTTAATCATTACACAAAGCCACAAAACACGAAAACAAATATAGCGATATATGATGGGAACGGATATTATCATCAGATAACATCCACAAATTCTTTCTAAGTTTAAACAAGTCCATATAAAATTAAAACCTCTTCAGTATCAATATGTTCTGCTTTCTTAGTTCCTTTTTCTTTTATTGTTTTCACTTCTTAATAATGTTTTTCTTTTTCTCCTGCATCTTAGTGGTTTTATTGGCTTGCTTGGGTGAAATGATTATATATATATATATATATATATATATATATATATATATATAATAAAAATTGGTGGTGAGTTACTCAATGTGCAAACTGTCAGTTTTGCATTGGAGTTTACAATAACTTTACTTAGAAAAGCAGACAAGAACAACACAGTATTTTCTGAAGCACTTTGTCTTCATTGGTAATCTTTATCTTGTTTCACTTTAAAAATCTGCAATTCCAATAAAATAGATGAATGTAAATAAATCATTTGGAATCTTGATTATGTTGACTTTAAAATGTTGATATATTATCACTGCCATTATTTATTAGTTGTTATATTTGAATTGGTTGAAGAAAAAAAAGAAAGAATGACCTTATATACATCTACCATCATCTTGCTCTTCTGATTAAATATTAAATAATATGAATCTCTTTGCTATTTTGTTGTTAAAGTCTCTTCTCTGTACAGGTAAAAATCAATGGATTTGGAGGTAATCTCCATTGAATACAGTGGAAGTTAGCAACCAGCTTCAGACAAATGAAATCTTGAGCATAACAGCCACAAAGTCAATGAATTGCACAGTATCACTTTTTGTTCATTTTTGGTTTGAATGAAGAGAATAGATTTTCTTGAAAACAGCTGAATGCTTTTACAACTCCACAAAGTCAAAAGGAAAAATATGATAAAATCTTTTTGCATTTGGCAATAAATAATACTATTATGTTTGATATAACATTATGGTACTGTTGCTAGGATATGATTAAAAAAATAAATATTTTGAATATTCTTTAACATTTTAGTGTGCCATGACTTACCCAAAATAACCCAGAGATTATGCAAATGACAAAAAAAAAAAAAAAAAAAAAAATCTCCCTTCAGATGTTTGGCTAGAAACAGGCAAGAGATTGATTAAAAAAATCTTTGAAAATTATTGGAAATTTTTGATGTGACAACAAACATTTGGAGGGAAAAGATTTAATGGAAAGTAACTTCATTCAGTACTTCAATATTAAAACTATAAAAGGAGAAATATGCAACAGTGAGCTATATTCCAAGATCTCAATAGTTGAATGATGGTTTGTTCAGTTGTAAGTAATAAGAAACAATCATTAATTTTATAAAAAAAAATTCTTCAGGTACAAGAATGAGGGAGTTTTATACACTCCTTATAAGTCTCTATTTTTATTACTTTTCTCATATACTTTATATACTCAAGTTATAAATTTTTATTTTTTGAAAGAAATCATTAATGTTTTATTTATGATTATATTATGAAATAATATAATGAAATCATTAATTTAATAGATGTTTCCCATATATTTTTGAGGACAGTTTTATCATACATTTGCTATAAGCACAATTCTACAAAAAGAAAGAATTTGAATATTTATCTTTTCTAACCAATCAAAAGAGATATATTTTTATCCAATCAATGGATAACATCTCACCCCCAAACTGACACATATATATATCCAGTGTTGTGCCAAAAAGCTTCACTTTACAGATTCTCTCTGAGAGACGTAACTTTCAAATTACTTACCAGTACGTGAACATCAGTGAATTGCTTATCTGCAAAGAGATAAAAATGAATTGCACATTAAGTCACTCATCACCTTTTTGGCACATAACTTTTCCAGTGATGAAAACTCATCACTCGTCTGCAAACCAACATTTGGCTGTCTTAAAGACTAAGAATAAAATTATTCATCAACCTTTTGACTTGCTCTTTCTTTTATCTTTACCAGTGAGACGAAATACTAGATAAATTTTGTGCAAGAATCTGTAGTCCAGGTTACCTTTTTTTATAAATGCAAGAAATGTTCTGAATACTTTCCCCATTACAAATTCATTTCCATGTACTGAGCTTCAAATGATGGTAATTTCATCTATTATTCCTACTATGAACTTACACACATATATAAATTTACTTTTTTAATTGGTATTGCCCCATGCAAAGCAGTAAAGCCGTTAAGATACAAGGAGTTACAGGGTGTGGAAGAATTAGGAACAGAAACATTAATAATGAGCAGAAAGAGAAAAGAGTAATCAGAAGGACAGTAGATAGTGATTGACACTGCATTTAAATTTTTACAGATTAAAGTTAACTGGAAAGCATGGAGCCAGAAGGGAGTTCCACAAGTGAGAAGTGTAAGAAAAGAAACTGTTAGCATAAAATTTACAGATACATCTAGTTAGCTCAACTGCAAATTGATGAGATCTCAAAGCCAGTCTAGTACTGTGCTTAAATTCAAAAACTCTAGGTACCATAGCAAAGAGCTTATCTGAACAATTACCATGAAAAGATTTATAGAAAAGGCAGAGAGAGGCAACCTTACAGAAGTAGGGAGGATGACTGAAGCTGAGCTGCTAGATCGGGAGTAATAATATTGCAGATTCTTCTTTGGATCTTATCAAGGGGCTCAAGTTAATCATCAGACACACTGAACCATATGTGGCAGCAATATTCTAAGCATGGTGAATGGTAGACAGATATAAAAGATAGATTCTGGAGAGAAAAATTGTCTCACATGACACAGTGAACTGACTTTCTTAGCTGCTGTCCTAGCAATGGATTCAATATATTTTTTCTACTTCATGTCAGCTGAGAAGGTGCAAGAAGTCACTTTCCTGGAGGTTAGCATCAGTCATGCTGATGGAAGGTAGCACCTTTAGCTTTTAACTTCCTCACTTACACACTATTGTAACAAAATTAACCAACATTTTTATACAAATGCCAAAATTATGAAAAGTTAAGAAAAACATGCCTACATATTTCAGCATAGGCAAAAAATAAGTAGAACCATAGAATTTTTTTTTTCAATACCAGGTTTGTTAAGAAATAAATTATTTTGTTATTATAACATAATATTCTTTTTAATATTCAGAAATACAAATTCACCTGAACAAGATCAGCCCTCATTTTTAAGGGTAGCAGAAAAACAGAGCCCCATATTTTATAAAATATAAACTACATACCTTATATTTCATCAACTGGGGTTTATTGAACTTGATAAATTTAGTACCAAAGATGTCTACCATTTATTTTAATATAACTTTACTTCAAAATATAGAAAGTTTCAATACAAACTCGCTTGTTGGTATTTACATTTGGGCTAATGTCCTTTTAGTTGATATTATTATAACGTTTTGTCCATATCTTCAGGTGTCTGTTGATCCAGGTGACAATCAGGAAATTCTGAACAAAACCTTTTATTTAATCAGTTGGAGTAGAATGTTCTTTACTGTCCATGCCTAGGGACATCTTGTCTTGTTCTTATTTACTACTCTCCAGTTATTGTTTACCTTGTTTCCACTGAGTCTATACTACCTGGTCCAAGGACTGAACTTACAATTATGTTGTCACCAAATTCATAAACTAATGCTTTAATCCACTAATCTATTATTCTAAGCCTGTAGATTAAATAAAAGGTTCAGTTTGGAATTCCCTGAAGATTACAAGGATTGACAAACACCTAAAGAAGCCATGCAGGCACAACAGCCAAAACATTGAGATAAAGATGAAGATATTAGTCTGAATGTAAATAATGGTAACTCCTCAACCTTGCTTGTCTTAATCCTTTGAGGTTTAGAAGCAGAAATTCCAAACATAAGCCATTGTCATAAACAATGATATTACTCTCCAAAACTGTTTTGAAATTGTGAAAAGCACAATACGAAACATAATTTTAACAATTAAAAATTTGATGATATAACTTTCTTTAATATATAAACTAAATCATAAGGAATGTAATAAAGAGTTTCTCTTCTAGGATAAGTTAGCTTAGGGCCATATCATGTTGAAACACCAGTACCCATACAATCACCAAAATTAAGCAATATTGAGCCTAGTCAGTACCCCGATGTGTGACTGCTTGGGAATACCAGGTGTTGTAAGTTTGGGTGTGTGGGTGGTATAATGGATAATGGCTCAAAATTAGAGAGCTGAGTTCCAATTCGACTCAGATTCATTATATTAACTTATGTGCAATTATACTTAGGGAAGGTATGAATCCACCACTTCTTTCTACTAAAGTTTAATTAGTAGAACTTGTATCAATAAATCATTATTCCCCCAAATTCTTACTTATTTTCTGGCTTTAAATAACCTGGAAAAGGTTGATAAGTGGTAAAAAACAAATCAATCAATCAATTTAGGATAAGTTGATTGATTTGAAATTTCAGAAGATTTAAAAATATTTGAATTTTTCTTGAAATAAATTTACAAAATTAGAATCATGCATTTATATTATTTTGTTGCATAGTTGATTAAAGACTCTTGTGATAACCACCTCCTGCTTCTTCTGTTTGGCTGAAGGCCAAGATGTATAAATAGTCAGTCAAGATAAAGTCATTAAGAGTAACATGTGGTAGAAGACAGGAGTTATAGTGCAATTAATCAGTATTAATCGGATAGAAAGCTGTTCAGAGGAAACAAATGGTGTCTAGACCAGACCTGCACAATTTAAAAATATGAAGGACCACATTGTTCACAGAAAATTAACTACGGCCCATAAGAGTAAATTTTTAGAGTAAATTACTGAGTAAAAATAATGTACAAATACAGTAATACATACCAGAGGAGGCATGTCATAATCAAAAACAAATGTCGGAATAAAGTCATGCTTCTAGTGATTGATGGCAGATTACAAATGACCTAATCAATTCCAGCATGGCTCCCCCAATTCTACTTAGCTGAATATTGCAGATACTAATAAGAATTGTGACCACTAGTACTGAATTGTACTTACAATATAAGTGTGTAAGCAATTGAAAAACAGCATGACTAGTAAATCCAAGTCTTCATGCCACATTGGCAGAGAGGAATGGAAGAAACTCATTAATGGCATTCAAGCTTGCTTCAATTAAAAGAAAAAAAAATCAAGAAGTTAGTTCCAATTAAGACATTGTAAAATTTACAAATACAAAAGTAACACAAGGCCAAATGAAGGTGAAATAAAGTGAAAGAAGATTGTGTTGCACCGGTCTTTCAAGAGGGAAGGCCTGCTGGCTTTGAAAAATTAACATTTGAAATCTTAGCTGTACCAGCTAATGGTAATATTAACCATTTTCCTACAAGAAAACATTTGGCATTCATTGACTGAGCAGCCAGTACTGCTTTTGTTTGAAATTTATAAAATCATTCTCTTAAAACAACTTGTGAGGAAAATAGGTTTTTTTCAAGTCGAGTAGCTGATATTGCTTTTTCCAGTAATGATGGGATTTCTTTCCTAACCTTTTCTTTGGAGTCGTGTGGAATCTCAACATCTTGATTATATCATGATTTTCTCTTCAAATTCCATGTGTAATCCATTTTAGTTGTTGCTGCTGTTAGCAGTCCTCAAGTGATATAGATTCTGTTATTTCCTACAGTTCTTTGTCTATGAATCTGTAGTGCCAATCTATGATGACTGGAAAGCAGTTGTATACAGCTTGGCTTAACTTCAAATATCCTTGGGAAATGCATGAATTCATCTCCTTCCCATAGCTATGGGTTAAACATCAAGATTTGCATCTAAAAAATAGTTTTTATTGTCAAAAAATTTTTAATGCAACATTAACTTGCAGAGAAAAAAGAATTATTCTTACAATCCAAATTATGTCTTGGTTTTAGATAACCTACAAAGGGTTGATGATCCATAAAAAAGAAAAAAAAGACAAAACCAAGAGATTATCTAGACTTAATCACCAACGTCTAAGGCTGGTGAAAAATAAACAACTATCTCAGCCATATGATAAAAGCTACAAGTAACATCTTCAGTCATAGAATAATTCTAAGATAACTTTAAACACACTATTTGAATATCTCTTGAATTGAAATAGACGTGTATTATCTTTCTCTTCTTCATCAACCATTAAATTCAGTATAATTAATATAATTAACACATCCTATCATATGAAGCTTGGTAAAATCTAATAAAGCATGTCCATGCAATTATGGGAATTTGATTTGCCAAAATTATTTAGTATTCTTCCCTTTAATTATTCTACCTGAAAAGATGAAAAAACAAAAAAACAAATCCCTGCAAAATGCTTCCGAACAGGAACTTCATTTAAACTCAAAGGGAATATATATACACACACACACACACACACACACACACCAATTATTTAAATAATGAATTTTCTTATATGTATATATATGTGTGTGTATAAAATTTCTGAGAAGGTTTAAGTTTTAAGAAGAATGAAATTAGCACTGATTTAAGACAAAACAGAAAACAATTAGGAATTTATGATTTCTGGCAATGAAATCATTGTTTCTCACATCAGAGGATTTTATTTGCTTTTATTTATTGAGAAGTGGTTATGATATTAAGATACTGTACAAAAAAAAATGTCTAATTTCTACATAACTATATGGTAATAAGTTCCACTAACCAGATATTAGAGATCGTATATATTGATCCAGTGCTAAGAATTTAGGTATAAACAAATGCATAAGATAAGTGAAATTTAAACCAAACCTTCTCTGAGCTCATATTACTATTTTTAAGCTCATCATTTCTTCTGTCATGAATTTAACACACACTGAGTGCACTAAACCTGTAAGTTTAATTAGTAAGTATAGTATACTTCACCATGGTTACCAAATTCATCTCATTGACCATTATTGTCCTAGTGAGTTTGATCCTCATTGGGTGCCTTTCACTTGTGGACTTTTGTCAGACTAAACTTAATAAATATTATTAGAATGCCTCATTGGGGAACAATGATTTGCAAGCTAGAGTTACAGATCAGGGTCACAATAATGAGTTACTGGCTGTCTTACACTAGCCATACTAAGCTAAACTGATCACTAAGGGAGATTCAAAGTGATGAGCTTGTAATTTATGAATACAACTTTGTTCTTTAAATAAAGAATAGGTAAACAGCACTATTAATTTTTTTACTAGTTTTTCTTTTTACTTTGATTTTTTACTTAACCATTTTTATATTCTGTGACCATTAAGCAAGTATCTTTGATTGGAGAAAAAATTACATTATTTACATTATTTGGACTATTGTCTTCATCTTTGTCGCCATATTTATTACAATGTTTCGGCCATTGTACGCTCTGGCCTTCTTCAGAATGTCGAACTGAACCCTTTATTTCACTCACTGGGGTAGACTGTTCTAGTTCCACGTGCCATGTTTAATGGATGTCAGTTATCTCCTGTTAATTTCCCTCTGAAAGTTCTCCCCTTAACTGGGTATTGAACTCTCACTCTTTGGGTCCTGTTACTGGATCTAACTAATGCCTTTATCCACTGTGCCATGTATCCTTGAGGACATCTGTGTATGAATTTCTGGGTATTATAAACCTAATGTCTTCAGCAACCGTTTTTTTAGGTGCTCATATTGCAATTTTTTGCTGTTATCATTACATGTTTTTACCAGAGCTCATATTGTGATTTTTGTTGTTATTACCGCTTTTCTCTGGCACTCCTTATTACTGGTTTCCATATTGTATTCATTTCTATGCTTGGTTGGCTCAGGAGATTTTTGTGGCCTAGCATATGTGCTGATTCCTTAACTTTATGAATTTTCCAATGGTGTTCTTTGTCTTTGATCTCCACCTGATCCCACAGAGGAAACTACAAGAACTCATAGAAAATGTAGTAAAAGAAAGTGAGAAGAAAGAACTAATCATTAATTGTAAAAAGACAGAATGTATGCTCGTCAGCAAGAGAAAGAATTTAAAATAAGAACTATGAATTGGAAATGCCAAAATCAAACAAGTATAAAAGTTCAAAAGTTCTGTGAAGTGTTTTAACAGATGGTGAAAAATGTGACACAGAAATCCAAAGGTACAGTGAAATAGTGAATGATGCCTTCCAAAAGGTAAACAAAGTATTAAGAAACAGGAAAATTTTGTCAAAAAAGATAAGAGTGCTGAACTGCTATATAATAAAAATCTTCCTAAAATGAAAGTGGATCAAGCTGTTATTTTTTCAGCACCCACTTATTGATAGGTATATCAATATGTCAGTAGACACATAATAAAAAAGATATTGTCTTACATAATGAATATTTTTCAACATAATCTCTTTCTTTATGGAAAATATATGTACTAACCTATATGATCAGGACTCTGTGGTGAATGCTAGCAATATAGATTGAATGTTATACAATGAAAATTTTAGATCAAAATTCAATTTATATGTCAAGCTATAGACATTGATATATTGTAAATGTAAAAGGTAACAGAACAGGATCCCAGACAAAGATGGCATACAATTATACTGAAATAGGAAATTTGCTAAGAAATTCTTTGACTCAGTTTTTAATTCTGGTGATTCTAGAGAACACACCACATGAAAAAGATGTTTATAGAACAAAGGAGAAAACTTATAACTGTAATATGTTTTCACAGAAACTCTTGCACAAAAGCAAACATGTTCATTGATGAGAAGTGCTGGTTTATTGTCTATTCTTTATTAAATCTCTTTTCCTCATTTTTTTTTTCTTTTTGTAAAAAAATAATTAATGAAGAAAAATGTATTGAACAAAAAAGCTGCCTCAGCTTTTTTGTGAAGGCTGGCTATTCTTTTAAAACTTTTATGACTTGCTTTTATTCCCACTGTGTGCCAAGAGCAAGGAGAAAAAAAATTCCCTTTTTACTAGCAAATCATTAATGTCATCAAACAAAGTGGGAGAAGCTCATCACATGAAAGACTGAGTTTTGAGGGAAAAAGAGTAAAATTTTGTTTTTCTTTTCATCACAAAGTCAATGACACCTGAATTTGTCTAGGTTTCAAAAACAAACTAAAATAAAACAAACTTGTTTTTATAATTTTTCTTCATGAATAATTTTTTTTATGAGAAAAACTTAGTTTTTGTTCAAATTTTGTTATATCTTTCATTATGGACAAAAATGGACTTTTACGATAAATAAAAACATTTAAACTTTTCCC